TTATATTATATGTACCTATATTGTTTCTAGCCGTACCTATTGTGTAATGGAGTGTATCTGGTGGTATTTGAATCTGTTCAACCATGAAGCCTCCGTGGTCTAATGGTTATGACGCTCGCCTTGACAGCGAGAGGTCGCAGGTTCGAGTCCCGCCAGAGGCATTTTATTACACAAGTTCTTTATTCATTTATTTACAGGACTACATTCGTTGAGAGCTATGTTACACGATGTATTGTATATATATATATATATAGTGTTTGTTTAATCGAGAAACCAGTCGAGATTTTATTTTTGCTTTTTTATAATATTTCAATGTTTCAGTGTAGCAGTTTTGACAGAAAGTCATCCTTAATTATTAATTTTGTTGACTTTTTTTCTGATAAAAATATGTCAACCTTTTGTCTAATACATTTCATTCATTTTTAACAATGTATTTTGCATTATTATTTTACAGTGGAGAAGAATTAAGTAGTGCTTCTGATATTGTGAGCATCGATATTTATGACAAAAACAATGAAATAATACAAGTTAAAAGTATTGAAATTAACTTTCCTGTAATTAAGGTAAACATATAAAATTGTAACTATTTTAAATACATTTTATATTATTTTAAACTACAAATTCAGATGAGTAAATTAAAAACAAAATACCACCATGAGATAGACAGTTTTACAAAACAACATTTGATAAGCTTTGTTATTATAGAATGTTTGCTTTTGAATTCCATGTCATAGATTCAAACCCTGTCGCATGCTTTTCTCTCACGACTAAGACATTCTACTTCCTACATAATTATAGACACTAAATTTTAAAGTGTTACACTGCCCACTAATTTGCGTGTTACTTGCTGCTGGCTGTAAAAAAACTTAAAAATCAAGTACGACACATGCAACTTAATTCGCTTACATTGAAACCAATAAGCAAGACCTTCTCAGGCAGGAATTTTATCAGTTTGTTTACATCAATCATGCATCATGGGCATTGTTCAATAACTTAAATTAACATCACTTTCTTTTAACAAAATATTTATGAAGGTAAATAGTACAGAAAATGGTACAAGTGCGAGTCTTTCCCCGGTACCGGTATGTTACTATACACAAGATGAAAATGTCATATCAGCGTAAGTAAATATTCTTACATTATTATAACATAATAATGGTAATAAATATTACAACAATAACAAAAATAGATTGGCGTTTTTGCTTCCCTGTAGTATTCGAGTATGTAATTTGAATACTTATAAATATTTTTAGAAGACAGCAAACATTTACTGAACACGGAATAAATTTTTATATATCAAATACAAAATCTGTGTTGAAAATGAGTTTGTAATTTTTTATTTTATTCAGTATAAAGCAACACAATTTAAAAGCACAACATGTTTACATTAACAGCAATGAACATTTTTTGAGATATAATTCAGGGCATAATAATAATGGCAACATGATTATACCAAATAAATTAACATTTTACCATATAGGCCTATAAACGACAACAGCACATGTATGTCAGCAAGTTAGTAAATAACAGAAACGGAGTAGAATACATACTGTAGATTGATTGAACATGCTTTTTTTGACTCAATATTTACATAAAATTATTGATTTCCGTTAAATATTGTTCACAAACGTTGATTAATGTTAATATTTTTAAGTAAATGGTCAATGAAAGGCTGTAAAACTGTCTATGAAAACTATGTCAAGAACGGCGTGACGTGTGTATGTGATCATCTGACATCGTTTGTCATTTTGATGAAACCGAAGCCGGTACCGGTATGTAATAAACTATAAAAAATAGGAAATTATGGATATATAAGTAAAGGATTAAAAATACACGTTTGTTTAACAACCTCAGTATTAATCCTATTACAATTTTTCTAGACAAACGAGAACGACATTTTGTCTTTGCTTACAACAGTTGGGTTATCAATTTCAAGTTTGTTTCTCATAATTACTCTCGTCATCATCTGTATTTTCAGGTAAGTTTAAATAAATATTATATATTTTATGTTCGTATTAATCATGAAATAAAAATATGACATAGCTTTAATTTTCAACATCCGATAAAAATTTTATCAAAAAATCATTGGTAATTTGTATCTTATATGCAGCAGGGCAAGCGAAACATTTTACATAGACTCGGATATGCCGATCGGTACTCAAAATATTATGTTTTTGTATAAATTTTCCTACTTTCTGCTTATAGTTTAGGAAATCATTCATTTTGAAAATAATGTTGAGTAGTAAACAATCAAACTTTTGATTATTTGTATTTCAGAGATTTAAGAAATTCTGAGAGATATAAAATCATGCGCCACTTGGTCATCGCTTTACTTTGTGTCAATTGCTTCTTTTTGTTACTCGAAGTTGATGCAAAAGAATCGGTATGTCTTCGTATTTTTACCCAATAGCCTCAACGAGTATAGAATAGAAAAATGTCCGACTCTGGGGATTCTTTTAAACGCAATGCTAGTCTTTCATAATGGGAATACCATTGGGTTGTATGAATACTAGAACTCTAATTCCAATGCATTCGATGTTTCAAAAATGCCAGTGTTTATCGGCACTTCAAAAAAATGACAATCCGGTTTTCTTAAAACGAGCTAAAACTTCGAAATCACGTCATTTCTTATTATTAAAATAAATTTGACTAGAGGACTGCAAATAAATCACGCGCACTTCACCTGAAGCTGATATCTATTTGATTTTTCTAGCCTGGTTAAGGGCAAGATAAAATGCCGATTTCAAAATTCGCATCGTTAAAAACGTATGTTTTGTAACTCACACGATTTATTACAAGAAACAGAAATGGTACCCTATGCAGGTCTAATATTTTATAAGTGTAGTTAATGAAAAAATGCATTCCAGATTAGCCCAATAGCCATGTTTAGCTTGTCATAAAGTAGCTGCGAATTTGCTTAAGAGATTTTCGCAGGTGATTACGGTCAGAATCAAACCAACGAAGTGATTTGGGTTGGAATCGAACACACGATCTCCAGGTATCTAGGCTGATGTCTTAAACACTAGACCACCGAGCTTGCGCTTGGTAGTATATTGATGAATACAATTAAAAAAAAAGTAGCAGCAGGTACTGCAATGCTTTACTGATGGCGTATTTTCGTCAGGAGAAATAATACAAAATGTTTGCCCTACCGGATGTGTTGAATGCTCAGTACAATCCCAAATATTTGCGAAAAAAAATCACAAGTTATATGGGTGGGAATTGAATCTACGACCTCCGGGTACCAAGCCTGATATCTTAACTACTAGACAACCGAGCTTGCGCTTGGTGGCTAGTGTTGAATCCGATTCGCAGGTAGCAGCGGGTACTGCAATGCTATTCCGATTGTGTATTTTCGTCAGGAGAAATAATACGAATTGATGTTTGCCCTACCTGACGTGTTATAAGTACGGTATTGAATGTCCGGTACATTCCCATTTCTTCCCCCCCCCCCCAAAAAAAAAAATTTCTCAAGTAATTTGGGTGGTTAAGAAATTAGGCTACTTACCTGGAGGTCGTGATTTAAACTAGATCGTCACAAAAACGTAATACTTTCTTCCATGTAACTTGACAAGTTAAACTTTCTCAAAGTTTCATTCAGATCAGTTTACCCGTTTTTGAAATATCTGGTGTAAAGTGTTTGCTCTTAAGCCACTTTAATTGGCCCTCACAACACACTCCACTCTAGACACTTAGGAAGTACATCCTTGATATAATGGTCTATGCTTCGACAAAGAATGGAAAGATCCAAGAATGGAAAGTAACCAAAGTGCCGGGAGGAAAACGCCAGTGCAAAAAGATAGGATAAACGATGTGGAAGAAAAAGGGAAAAAAATAATAACAAAAACAATGGCTTTTCTAACTACTGCTGAAAAAAGCAAATAACGTCCTGGAAGTAACAATTTAACATCAACATTTTGTCCTCACAGATCCTATGCAGTGTCCTTGCAGCTTCTCTGCACTACAGTCTCTTGGCAGCTTTCTCCTGGATGTTGATTATATCAACGGATTTATTCATGAAGATCAAACATCCGTTTGCTGATCATTCAAAGCGCTTCACTTACAGTCGGTTCATTGGTTGGATTGGACCTGTCATTGTCGTTGGGCCGACAGCTGGTATAGCAAGAGGGAACTATGTATCTGATGAGTAATTCGAGTTTTTACTTTGAACACCTTATTAATCATGTTTTTCTTATGTTACGATCTGAGCACTGTTATTATTTATCCAATCAAATCCAATCTGGGCATTTATAAAGCGCCTTTTTTAAAGATATGAAACGCTGCAAACAGATAGGAATTATGATCAAATAATTATATATAGGCCTATATATATATATTATATATATGCCTATATATATATATATATATATATATATATAAACATTAGTACATAATATTCATTGCCCATTACGTAAGAATTGAGAAAAGACGAGTCTTAATTTATTTATTTATTTATTTTTATTTTATTTATAAACAAAGCAACAGAGAAAAACAATCGCAAATTGTAGAAAAACATGAAACATTACATACGGGTTACAAGATAAAAGGAAAAAAGGAAAATAATTGAAAAATCCAAGATGATACAAGGATATATACACCACTTGGTCTCATAGTTCAGTTGGTATATATCCGGAGGTTAATCGAAAGGGTTAAAATCCCGATGGAGGAAAAATTTATTACCGTCTATATATATCTACATTATATATTTAATATATAAATTTAGTCAGATAAACTGGTGGTAGTAATTGTGGGTGTGCTTAGCCATTGCAGTTTTTGGGTACCTTGATTAATTTTAACGCTGCTCTCCTTGCTGGCAGCAAAGAGAAAAAGTGTTTTTTAAACATTTGGAATTTGGCGCTCATATTTGTGCACTTAAGAACTTTGTACACGTGTACAACATGGCATCATTTCTACCTATGAATCTTAAGCTATGAGGGAAATTGTGACTGAAAATGTAAATATTTCTACTGTCTTAATCTTATCAATTCTAGGTGTTGGTTGAATGCTAAATCTGGTTCCATCTGGACTTTCATTTTTCCCGTGTACATCTCCAATTTGGTAAAGCCTCTCTTTTACACTTAATTGCACGAAAATGTATTACAATACATAACAATGGCAAAGTGCTAAAAATTAGTAATTATCAGTATTTTTAAGCTTGGTTTCCATACAATCACTACACGCTATCGCCGACAGCTTTCAGTGATGAAGATTGGTCGGTGGAATCGGGGAGCCTTCCTGATTGATGCGCCGGCCGGGAAAATGCTACGCAATACAACCATTGCACTGAAAACACTGTAGCGACATTGCAGCTATTTTATGGAAACCAGGCTTTAGACGGTTCTCGGTTGTCCTTTCAGCATTTTCCAATATATATTGTCCACAAAAAGAACACTCGCTCAATACCGAGAATAATTATGAAACATTTTTAGATGAATTTCTAGTTATTATGATAAGCATTAGCCTATTCGCCTATTTTGCTTACATACAAACTTAGTATCAAAAAGATCTTCCATAGTAGGTGATTGCCCTTGTGCTTTAGCATACTAATAACAAGATGTAAAATTTTCTGTCAAAGGTTGTTCTCGTGCAGTTGATTGTAATTGGATATGTAGCTTTCAAGAAGTCTCAACTACCAAGCCAAACTGAAGAAGAAATGCAAACGCTCAAACGGATCAGGTTAGCTGTAATAATATTAAAATCTATGTCAAATACAGTATGAAACAGATAAGAATAGGTTTGTAAGCATTACATTCTAAACAGGAAGAACGTTAAGAAAAAAACTAGGAAATTATGAATTTCAAAGTTTATATAGGCGTAGATATGGGAGAAGAGAAGAGTCAGAGTAAACAATGTTCATCCACGAAATGTACTGTACTGAAATTGCCGAAACCGTGAGATATCGTGGTTTAACCGAGAGAGCCACACTACACAGGAAGAATAACCAAGTTGATTTTTCATAGAAGAAAATGGAACTTAGTTGAATTTCCTAATCCACAATTACACTAACACGCGTGCACGTGCTTAATCTCACTTTCTTAACTACTGCGTTTAGAAGAGTATAATGAAATGTGTTGTCGACATAATTATTTGAGCACGTGCCACAATTTGTTTAAATGTTAACGATGTGTTGTATTTTGTTTAAACAGAAATATGTTTCTTGGTATAT